TGTGTGTATGTATCATGACGGAACTTGTTTGAGTGGGCCCGAGAATTGCTTTCTATAAAAATCTTACGAATTCGACGACCTAAGACTAAGACGATTAAAAGAATTATGATTAAATGATATAAATAATAATAACAGCAATACTATTATTATGATTAAATTATTATTATTATTATTATTTTTATTATTCTTATTGCGTCATGATCTTATCCTACGATGCATTCATCTTATCGTTGCAAATACTTGAAGATCACCAACGTTTGAATCATGGTTTGCCATTCTCATCATCATTGTCGTCGTCACCATCTTTATTATTATTATTATTATTATTATTTTATTATTATTATTATATTTATTAGTATCACTATCACCATCATCATCATCATCATCATCATTGTCATCATCACCGTAGCAGCTTATGTTACCGTTGGTCGACGTCTTAATTTTCTCCTCCATCAATTAACATAATTAATTAGTGACGTCATGCCTCGTGAATCATCTCATGAATATTAATTAGCTCCCCCCCCAATTTAATTAATATTAATACATGCTAATGAGTTCGAAGACTTTAGGCTCAAAATTGCTGGTGTTAAATTCTTTCTAAAAAATTCATTTTATTCATTTTTTTTTTCGATAAATTCATTCCCTTTGTCCATCCATCCATCACGGCTATAATTATACAATTACTTATGATAATAATACTATAATTCGACATAATTATAACTTTATTATTATTATTATTATTATTATTGCTATTATTTGTTATTATTATCATCAATTGTTTTAAAATTGCGTGTGCATTGGCAACCTGTTACATTGATGATGACGACGACGACGATGATGACAATAAAACAACATCAACAGGTAAACTTCGTCATGCAAGTGCATGTTTATTTGTGTGTGAATTGTAGTTTGATATGTATGTATGCATGTATGTATGTATGCATGTATTCATCTATGTATGTATGTATGTATGTGAGTATGAGTGTATGTATGTATGCATGCATGTATACATGTATTCATCTATGTATGTATGTATGTATGTATGTGAGTATGAGTGTGTGTATGTAAATGTATGTATGTGTATGCGTGTATGTTTGCCAGAATGTGTGTGCGTGCGTGCGTGCCTGAAGTGGTGGACACGATAGTTAGAGTTTCATTTTTAAAAATTTGAATTTTGATATTTTGAGCGCCAAAAAGCGAAAATGAGTCATTCATTCGACTTATTAACAGTAATAATAATAACAACAATACTTTTACTACTACCATTATTAGCAGTAGTAGAAGTAATAATACAGTAATGAGCGAATGGCTTTCCATTCAAAGCTGTTTCGAAATTACTAGGCTGCAATGAAACATACTATGATGATGTTTTTTTTATGTTAGTATATATGTTTATGTGTGTATGTATGTATGTGTGCGTATGTGTGTGTGCGCATGTATGTTTGTATTTATCTTTCTATTCATATGTCTATTTGTATGTTTGTCTTTGATAATAATAATAATAATAACATCATCATCATCGTCGTCGTCATTGTCATGAGCGATGTGGTTGTTCTAATTACTTGAAAAATATTGCATCTTAATCCAGGTGCGTGCTAGACAAGGTGAGTGTTTGTGTGTATGTGTGTATGTTTGTGTGTGTGTGTTTGTATGGGAGTGTGTGTGTGTATGTGTATATTTGTTTGTATGCGTGTGTGTCTGTTTCTGTGAGAATTTCTATTCAGATATATTGACTTGTATGTGTGTATTCATCAGTTTGTGTGTTTGTTTGTTTGTACGTATGTCTGTATGTTTGCTGGTCTGTTTGTCCTTATATACGTGTGTACATGTGTGCATGAATGCATGTGAGATGTTTGTGTATCAGTGGTTTGTTGCATAATTAATCACATACACACCTACACAATTATATTATTAATCAACATCTGCACCGGTTTAAACTCTTTCAGTTTTTAGTTAACACACACACAATCACACACATACACACACACACACATCTTCACATCCATGCACACACACACACACTATTACATGTACATGCTAATAATCTTAGTAGTAGTTGTAGGAGTAGAAGCAGCAGCAGCAGCAGTAGAAGTAGAAGTAGTATAATTATTGTTAATTTTATTAAGACAATCAAAATTTCCCTCACCTGTTTAATCAAGACTTCATCAACTTTCTTTTGCCAGCAACTCAAGAATTAAAAAACAATACAATTATTGCTATTATTAATTATTATAATTATTAGTTATTATTATTATTGTTGTTATTGTTGTTGTTATTATTATTCATATTTTTCTCCACTTCTCCATTTGCAACCTTAAGAAAATAAAATCACCATCAGAATATAAGCTAATAACGCTTGCCTGCAGAACTTCTGATGAGAACCTCAACAGATACACATATGTGAATGCACAAACATACATAAATATATATGCGAAATTGTGAAATACACACTTATATATATATATCAAAATGCGGCATACACACACACACGCACGCACACTCACACACACACACGCATATATATAATACCAAAAATACCAAAAATAAAAAAATGTCAAAAAATACCTATATGTTCTTGTATTGTATCCTTTATATCGTAACAATTACACACAAGCGGAAAATAAATTTAAACAATTTATCGGATGTTTCTACATTGTATTGCTACTTATATGATAGGTCCCAGCCATATTATATATATATATATATGTATATATATATATATATATATATATATATATATATATGTGTGTGTGTGTGTGTGTGTGTGTGTGTGTGTTCGTGTGTGCGTGTGTTCAATTTCCCAATAGCATTCTAACATAAATAAATGATTATCTTATAGTTGGATGGATCGATTGGATGGATTGAGTTGATAGATGGATAGATGTATGGATGGTTATATAAAGAATTGGATACATGGATGAATTGGCAGAAGAATGAACGATTGAAGAAGTGCATGCATGAATAAAAGAATGAATGAATGTTTGATGGGAAATAATGAGACACTTTTTAGGGGCTCCAACTGTCCAAAGACATCCAACTGAGACGCTATTGTCTGTTGGCTACTACGGACTAAACCAATACCAAACTAATTTCAAATATTGGGAATTACAATACTTTCAAATGCTACCTAATTTCAAACTGCCGGAGAACATCTATCTAATTTCAAATCCTGACATTTATGTTAATTAATAATCTACTGATAGAGTTACAGGGCTCTTCTTACGTGGTTATTCTTTTAAATTAATACGCGATACGTTTGATTGCCTTTTGGGGTATTGTATTCTTGTTGCAATGGATATTGGATTTCAGGTGTCGTAGTAGTAGAAGTAGCAACAGTAGCAGCAGCAGTAGTATTAGTAGAAGTAGTAAAAGTAGAAGTAGCAGCAGCAGCAGTAGTAGAAGTAGTGCTGTCGTGTTTGTATTTTGGTGTCTGCGGTATTTCTGGTCTCAGATGTTTCGTTACGTAACGACGCAAATGCTCGCTTTTGGATTTTATGCTTATGCATTTGACAAACGGATGTAAATGTTATCACTCGTTCTTTAATTCGTTCATTCCTTCGTTCGTTCCTACATTCCCTCATTCATTCATTCATTCATTCATTCATTCATTCATTCATTCATTCATTCATTCATTCATTCATTCATTCATTCATTCATTCATTCATTCATTCATTCATTCATTCATTCGGTCGTTCGTTCGTTCGTTCATTCATTCATTCGTTCGTTCGTTCGTTCATTCATTCATTCATTCATTCATTTTCTTTAACACATTTAATTCGCAATTCTTCAAATATGAGTTTGGCTAATAGTAGTTCGTTCATTGATTCTTCACGCTTCGACCTAGAGATTGTTTGTTGTTTATAAACCTTTCCGTGATTTTCATCAACTAAATCGCTGGTAATCATTTTTTTTAGAAGGGTATTTCTCAACCTTTCGTTCACGATACATTATATATAGATTCACACATACATGTTTCTGTTTGCAGAAAAGAAATATCAAATCAAATCAAAAATACTTTTTATTTACCAGAACATAACACAAAAAAAAAATGTATGTATGTATGTATGATGTAGGTATGTATGTATGTATGTATGTATGTATGTATGTATGTATGTATGTGTGTGTGTGTGTGTGTGTGTGTGTGTGTGTGTGTGTGTGTGTGTGTGTGTGTGTGTGTGTGTGTGTGTGTGTGGTACACTTACATGCGTACATTAAAAAACGCCCACGGTTTACATTTTAACAATAATTCCTAATGATTAAGTAATTCATGCCACCATCATCGTCATCTTAGTCATCAGCATCGTCCGTGTTATTATTATTATTACTATTACTATTATTATTATTATTATTATTATTATTATTATTATTATTATTATTATTATTATTAATCAGTCTCTTCTTCTTCGTCATCATAACCGTAATCGTAGTCGTCGTCTTCATCAGCGACTCAACAAGCACTTCATACTTTCTTGCATATTTTCTGCATGCAATCTCTCTCTCTCTCTCTCTCTCTCTCTCTTCCTCTCTCTCTCTCTCTTCCTCGGTCTTTCTTTCTGACAACTTTTCTCTCTCTTTCTCTCTCTCTTTTATTTTACATCACTATCTCACTTTGTTTGCCTCGATACCACTACAAAGCATGCTTTACAATATCTCCCGTTCACCTGTATTGGTAGAACTATGCAGCCGTGTGTAGTGAGATGAATGTGTGGCTGATGTTGTTGTTGTTGCGAATGTGTGTGTGTCTGTGTCTGTGTGTGTATGTTTGTGTGCGTGCGTGTATGTGTGTGTGTGTGTGTGTGTGTGTGTGTGTGTGTGTGTGTGTGGTGTGTTTTGTTTAGTTGAGTAAGCAATGTTACGATGACGACGACGACGACGATGATGATATTAAGAATCATGTGATTATGCGAGAGAGTGAATGAGTGAATGGATAAATAAGTGAAATAGTGGGTGAATAAATTATAGGGATATGGAGGAATCACTGAAAATGATTGAATGAATGAAACCAAATGAGTGAATGAATGAAAAAATGAATGAGTGAGTGAGTGAATGAGTGAGTGAATGAGTGAATGAGAGTATGAATAGATGAGTGAATCGGATAAAAGAATTATTTACGTGGGCGGGCGGTGAATGAATGAATGAATGAATAAATGAGTGACTGAATGAATGATCATTATTTAATAGGTTAATGTACGTGTCGTAAGCATGTATACATACATTTAAGATCTAAAATTATTTATGTTAGTGTGTATGTGTCTATAAATATGCACATGTGATGTATGCATGTGTATGTGTGACTGTGATGTGTGTTTGTGTATATATATATGTGTGTGTGTATGTGTGTGTGCGTGCGTGCAGCTATGTGTTATAGTTACTATGTTGTTATCCGGTTCAAATCGGTTCTTTTAAGTTTGTGTTTTAACAGCATCATTGATGTTTCATCAGTATCATTCAATTACTGAATGATACTGATGATACTCTACTACGGCTGCTGTACTACTACTGCGGCTACTACTACTACTGCCGCTTCTGTCGCTACTACTACAACTACTGGTGGTAATAGTAGCAATAATAACAATGTAGATATAAGAACAATATTATTATCTCAATGCAAAGATCATAAATTGATAATACTACTGATAACATTTATAACCATAATATACGTACGAATGAATGAATGAATGAATGAATGAATGGAAAAATGAATGAATGAACGAACGAACGAACGAACGAATGAATGGAAGAAAATGATCAATAAAATCTTAAACAGAGATTTAAGACGAGACGAAAAACACCTAAAAAGCTCAACTCCCAGCGAATACAAGTTAGCACGAAAGTTACAAATTGAAAAAAGCAAGTATAATTATGAATATTTATATGCTGTAATAAATTTATTACGATATATATTTATATATATAATAATATTATATATTAGTATAGGTTGTATAGATAGGAATTCATATAAGTTTTTTCAAGCCGGCTGACAAAATGAACATTTAGATGAAGATGACGAAACAAAACATTACAGGGAGAACAATTAGTAATAATTATTATGATTATAATTATAGTTAAAATTATAATTATAAATATTAATTATAGTTTTTACGATAGTAAATTTTCTCCACATGCTAAAATCTACAGAAACACACGCGTTGAAATAAAATATTTCTACGACATTCTGCAGTACAGTACAAAAAAAGACAACGAAGGTTGCACTAACAACTGAAAACATTTAATTCGGGAATGTGGGGGATGGGTTATGATAATGATGACGACGGAAATGGCAATAATAATAATAATAATAATAAAAACAAGAATAATAATGACGACGACGACGATGGTAGTTGTTGTGGTGGTTGTGGTTGTGGTGGCTGTTGTGGTGGCTGTTGTGGTGGCTGTTGTGGTGGCTACGGTTGTAAAGTCGATCGACAAACATGTGACGACATTTTATCGCTATTCATCGTCATATTTACACTTGCACTTATGCTGTGTCTAAGAGCCAAAAAAATTAAGGAAGAAGAGAGAACGAGAGAGCGAGAGAGAGAGAGAGAGAGTGAGAGAAAGAGAGAGAATGAAAGCAGGAGAAAATAAAATAAAAAAAAGAGGTTTGAAATATTAATAATATTCTCATTTATTTCCAATACAATACCTGTTTAAACATTTGTACACGTGTATAAATGCGCTAACTAAAATCTGAGTGAATGAATGAGGGAATGAATGAATGAGTGAATGAATGAATGAATGAATAAATGAACTGACTAAGCAGATGCATCATCATCTCAAATGCGGTGCATACGTATGGAAACAAGACAGGAATGAATAAATCCAGGAATGGATAAATAAAATTTGAATAACCATAATTAATAATAAATGAATGAATGATATTCGTCCGTCATAGTTTTAAGAGTGATTGACGGGCTCCATCTCAATCTCGCCGGGGGTGGGGGCAGAATCCGGCGGGGCTGCCAAGCTCCTCCTACGTACCCCGTGACCTGGTGTCGTCTTGTCAATTATGCACATACGGCACCACACGAAGGAGGAGTTTGCGGTCGCTGGGGGGTGATGGTGTGGGTGGGTAGGTAGGTTTCGATCGTGAGAAAGAAGAAAATGACAACAGTGATGACGACGACGCGACAATGATGAATAATTAATCATTTATAACTGTGTGTGGATCTGTGTGTGTGTGTGTGTGTGTGTGTGTTTAAATCATACGTCATTGACCGAAAACTTACCAATGTGCTTGGGGGTGGTTCTCCCTATGACCCAGATGCCCGCATATACAGCCATGGACACGAAACCCATCGTACTGCAAAATATCAAGAAGCTGTGGGGTCCGACCCTGGCGAATAACTTTAAAA